TTTTAAGAGGATATATCCCGTCCACCTAAGTTTCATTCAGCTCAAACCCAACTCTCGGGTATGCGTAGCAAACACGCACGGGCTCGTAAAAATTTTTTTCCAGTAAGTTGCTAACTTAGGAGCTAGAGAAGCTAAAAAGCTGAAATTTTAAGGGAGTGTTTCCTGACAGTTTTGGCAGCCAGTCTTAATTTGTTTAGCTAGAAGCATTTGCCGAGAAAGCCAGTGGCGGTAGCAACAAAAACTGCGGGAAACTATGCAAAAAAACGCATCTTCGCACGGGCAACCGTGCGTTGGCCAATTATTTTTAAATGTTATACATGCAAAAAACTTTTACTCTGATATACACAAACGAAATCAATTCAGGAGTGTTTCATTTGATACAAATGCTCATTATCAGCGTTGCCACCTGCACGAGTTCCATATTTGTTCATTTAGAAAAGTATGCGTTACGGAATCAGTACATTCAAGTAAGATTAAATTCCACTTTCATTTGCATTGGAAGCTGTAACAAATTCAGCGCTTTTCCCCACTTTTGCTTTGGTTTGTTTGAATATACAGTTTTAGTCTTAAATTGAAAATAACATTTTTGAGTCCAATATTTAGCATAATCCAGCATCTTTCACCTAGCTTTGGTACTACTCTAGCAAATTTTTTGCCTCTCTAAAGAAATTTTACTACGAATAAACTAATTGTAGCCCTTCAACTAAGATGAATTAGTGTCTTCTTGGTTTGTTAGGATCAGCTAGAAGGGAGACTCTCCCATGCTTTGATAGTGATCAGGCCGCTGATAAACTATCGCAGCCTAACCAAGATGGGTTTGAATGCACAGACAGAATGAGCAGTTGTTGCGGTTTTCGGAGCAATCGTTTCCTCACATGCAGGAATCATTTTATCGAGAAGTAAGAGAAATTTGGATGTTTACTAAATAAAAGATTAGCAGTAACTGCAGACCAGAACAAAAGGATAGAAGTTAGGCAAGGGGTGCCTCGTAATGAACACTTTCAGCTGTTCTTATGAGCAAAGGAATATACAGTTGAAGTAGGCTACATAACAATCATGTTTGAAGGCAATTCCGTGGTGGCTGCGGTTTCTGACTGCTAAGCGACTTTTTTGCTGTTATGTGCCGAAAAAATTTCGAATTGGAAGAAATGAAAATATCAAACGGAATCACGACGTAACAGCTCGCTTTGTTAGCCCATCTGCAGACAGCTTCACGTTTCGAGATATTATTCCGGCAGAGGTAGTTTCATTTCACGTCCTGTCAGCGTTAATTTTGTCAGCTTTGAGATCCGGATTGTGGATGAAAAGCAAGTATGCCACTAGGCATCAAAGCATTAGGTGGAAATAAGATTGGATGGGATTTATTTAGGTTGCCGGCGGGCACGGTGCAACAAGAATTAGTAGGCTAAGGGTTAGGCTCAGCTATTGGGACAACCAATCCCTTCTACAACTCATTCATCCCTTTCAATGGAAAAGTTACCCAAGCCGGGGAGTTTAACTCATGGAATTTACTAGTGAAGGTATACTTCTGAGAAATTTTTGAGAGTAATATTATTGGGAAAAATTTTTTCCACGTAAAAAAATGAAATTTCAATGATGAAAACGCAGAATCTCATCAGTTTCCAACTGGTATGCGAAAATAAAATGCACTGTTTGAAAGAAAGCGTATGCAACCCATGCTACCCTAGTCGATGGCATGCGCTTAAATGAACAGCAAAGAAACGAAAAATTCTACATCAATCACTGATAGGAATAGGTAGCTGTGTTTGCCGTTGCAAATGAAGACAGCAGTTGCAGGTGAACATGACAGAATGTCATCAAGAGACAGCAGTATCCGAAGCGATCGCCGAAACACCGCCGTCACTGATTGCTCAAAGAACTGAGCTACTCATTAGTCTAATGCGAGAATTCATTCAGATGAAAGACGAAGCACAAAGGCGACACTGTCTTCCAGCTTACTGGGAAAGGGTTATTAAAAGACTAGAGAACATCTCACTAACTACCTATTTGTTTCTTATTATTATGAACGTTGCCATGCTTATGTGTCCAGAACTGTGGTACTGATCTATCACCTAACTCGGTATCATACCCTCATACTTGCAATAAAATTTCTCTAGCTTGGAAATTCAATGCATGCTTGCTCCGTATTTGCAACCTGTGTTGCACGAATTTGCTGCGACGTAGAATCAGGCAGCTTAATGTTAATGCTAATAATAATTAACATGTGAGGGAAATTTTGAGATAGCTGCTTATTTTTTAATTATCTGGACTAATTTCCTTCATACACTCGTTTAATCCAAAAGTTTTTTTTCCTGCTTTTCACTCTGTAAAAGATTCCGATTCCAGCGTAACTGATTCGTAGATCTGCACATACAGTAGAAGTAAATTAAGCGAAATTCAGCATATGTTGAGCGGCACGGAGTTAATAAAATTAGAGATTTTTGCGCATGAAGAGCGCTCAGCACTTTTCATTATCCCAAAAACATTTACTAAAAAACTGCAAAATGGCTATTTCTTTCAATAATGCGCGAAAAGAAAATTGCGGTCGTCCTTAATAAGTCATACGCGTCATTGCGAATTCACTGCTCAAACTTGCTGCACATCGAGTAGGAGGAGCTCCAAAAGTTGTTTAAATTTGGTAATTATGATGCAGGAACCAGCCAACTGAGTTACATAAAAGTTCGTTATGCCCACAGAACAGTATGATAAATTTTATAATTTCCATGTCATCAGAAAAGGATTTGCGAAAAAACAAGTTTTTTGTTTATTATAATCACAATGTTATTAGTAACTTTCAGTAGCTGAAAAGACCTTTTCTGCTTCTAACTTAAGCTCCAGTGCTTGGCGTCATCCAAATCAACTAAATTCGGAACGGACCAGGTTTAATGCTGCGATCATGCGTATGGTGCTAGGTTTGCAGCAGTCAAATTGTTAACAGCATGTGTGGTTTCTGCGTTGTGCTTTAACACGATAAGTCACGTTGGTTGTGTTTTGGCTTTTTCGTGCATACAGGGGAAAAGGGCGTCGGCTGGATCATGGGGCCGCGTGAACCTCCAGTATACATGATTTTGAATTTCACATGAAGCCCAGTTGTTTTTCTGGTGACTGGTCTTCCATCGAAAGTGCAAATTCGGCGGTGCGTAGTATGCGGGATGAAAAGAAATACGAAATCCACAAAATGCACTCGCTTTTGAGTTTACGATAAAATGAGTGTTTTGTTCGCGTGCAGTGCATTTTGCCTCCAAACTGGATTAAGACAGCATGATTATAGAATACCAAATTTCAGTTTCGCAGGTTGCCCAGTAAGCAAAATCACCTCTTCGCTACAAATGCCTTTGACGTGTTCCAAAGCGTGGCCCAACGACGATTCGAGATTTCACTTAGGTATATAATATTCTAGATAGGAGATAAATATTCTGACAGAATTCTGTCCACTGTTTTTAAACTAGTTTTCGGGTTGGCACGGTGCCAACCGGGATTTTGACGTGATTATATGCGTGTGCGTGATTGCTGAATTTGAAATCTTTAGCTCACACATGCACAGAGAATATCCCCGCAAACTTTCAGCCCTGTATCTTATGCGTTTCCCGAGGTCGCTTCCCCGCCAAAAATCTGCACATTTTTTTGAGACGTTTGTGGGTGAGTCAGGCGTATGCGAATGATAATATTAAAACAAGAGGGTCGCACATGAAGTAGACAAATGCTCCTGAAGTTTCAACTTTCTAGCTTTTCTGCTTCTCGAGTTGAAACTGGATGACAAAAAGTGCGAACATACAGGCACACACACACACACGCACACACGTAGATACACGCACATATGCGTACAGACCCAGACAGCCCCTTGCCATTATGCGTTTTTGCACTTGCACATATGCAAAAATGCATAAAATCCAGGTGTCGAAACGAAAACATTACTATCCATGCATTACTGATAAGGACTTACAGGAGGAGCGTTTCTGGCACTAACGACTTCGGCATAGCGGTTAAAATGCAAATTCAGTCCTCGTTAAATTCGGTAAGCGACTTCGTTAAATTAGCATTATTTTTTGATCAATATTGAATGCTCACCGTGAAAGAATAAAGCATTCACGAGAAGTAGGCGGGGGGAAGGCGCATGAAAAATTGTTGAAAGAATGTGAGACAGTGGCAACGCTATCCGGTAGTGTCATCGATGGCTAATTTATGGACGTTTCATAAATCGAAATGGATTTTGCACCAATATCCATTCAAATCGACAAATTGAATAATGGCAACAGTAGAAATAAGTAAACATGGTGTGGAGCGTCGTCACTAACTGCTGCCAACGCTATCCCAAGTCTCATTTCTTTCTTTGTTTCCATAGTCTCTAAAATTTCACGGCTTGAAAAAGAATGCTTTATTTTATAAAGATGATTAAAAACACACTGTTCGGGTTTTTGTATGAGTAGTTCACGTAAAGCAAGCGTAGTGTTCTGAAGCGATCAAAAGATTGTTATTATCACGAAGTTATTTCAGAACACTACACCTGCTTTACGCAAACAAC